GACCTACTAAAAACCATTTATTATTTAATGTCCATAAAAATTATATTTATATTAATGATGTCTCCAAAGTTCAGCGAATTTTTCACAAAAAAAATAATTTATCAGGAAGCACATGAGCGCCATTCAATGACAAGCTCCATGACAAAAACAAGCTTAAGCAATGGCGTCGTCGAATGGTGCACACTCAGTAAGTAATCCTACAATTTTTTGTTTCTAGCATAGTTTATATGGATTATTCCAAAAAAATTATACATGTTTTGGAAATGTTGAGTTAAATTAGCCTAGAATCGATTAATTTTATGGAAGAAAACCTTTCAAACAGCCATAGTCCGTAAACTGCATACATGCCGGGCTGTGATTGGTTCATGTATTCAAGGACTCTTAGAACATCAATTTCATAAAGAACGGAATATATCTACCATGTTATAGGGGAGTTGACTGTACTTGGTTGGCAAGATGTGTGACATCTTTATTTTAATTTTAGCAACAGAATATTGCTAAAATTAAAGCAAAAGTGTATTAAATATACCATTATCTTTTGATAAATTTTCTAAAAGAAATTAAATTTACTTTATATAACANGGCTTGAAGATGATCTCATTCCTTTATTCACTAATCTTAAAAATAATTTATTTTATAACATCAATGTTTATCAGATTTTTTAAATTAAAATATCAGTTAGCTGTTTTATGAAAATAAAATATCTATAAAGTATGCATTACAATTATTCTGTAATTTAATTGAACTGCATCTGGATGAAATAGGTATTAAAACAATTATTATAAAACTGCAGCAAAGAAAATTTATTTGCAACAAACATTTTTGATTATATCAAAGATTTCCTATGTTCAAAGATTCATATTTCAAAGATTTCAGATCTGTTCTAGTTTTTTATTTTATATGTCAATAAAGTTTAATATTAAATTTACAACCTCTCTTCTTACTTCTTTCTTCAGTGGCTTATGTAATTCTTTTTATTAATTGGCTCTTTTGCTGTTAAATTCTTTGTTTCTTCCTGATTTCATCTAAACAGCTATTCAAATTTCAGAAAGCTCATTATTGATGTATAGCTATGCTCATAGATAATGCCTTTATCACAATTGATTATTTCACAAATTCACTTTGAATATCCCAAATTATTATTGTTATAATATCACTTGCTATAAAAAGAAGAAAGTGTTAATTTTTTTCTATTTTGTTATTTGATTTATAGAAAAATGTAAGCATTTAAATTGATAAGATGAAAACTTCAAAGTAAAATTAATCACAATTGTACAAAAAGAAAGAAAACTTTTAATTTAATACAGTTTTAAATTTTCTTCAGATTACAGATAATGATTTTGATAGAAACTGATATAAATTTTTCATTATCTAGGTTGCCATTTATATTTTTTATGAAATTTATGATTTTATTTATTATTTGACAACCTTAATTTGATCCATTTGGATCNAAAACCTTTCAAACAGCCATAGTCCGTAAACTGCATACATGCCGGGCTGTGATTGGTTCATGTATTCAAGGACTCTTAGAACATCAATTTCATAAAGAACGGAATATATCTACCATGTTATAGGGGAGTTGACTGTACTTGGTTGGCAAGATGTGTGACATCTTTATTTTAATTTTAGCAACAGAATATTACTAAAATTAAAGCAAAAGTGTATTAAATATACCATTATCTTTTGATAAATTTTCTAAAAGAAATTAAATTTACTTTATATAACATTATTTCTTTGTACTCTTTCATTTAAAAATTTAGATATATAATACTGCAAACTAGAAATATTTGTTTTTATGTTTTGTATTAGAATGAAACATCTCCATGAAAATATTTTTAAAATTTTAAACTAAAATTTTATATAAAATATAGTTAATAAAATGTATTTTGTCTGTAACAAATTATTTATAATTCAGTTTTTTCAAGTTTAAATAAAAAAGAAAAAAAAATAATAATAATAAAGTTAAGCAAAAAATATTAACTTTCTTACTTATCATCTTGTAATAACGGTCTCTCAATTTGTGATAAAACTGAAGGATAAGCTACATCTTTCACAATAAATTTTCCATCTTCTTGATCTCCAAATAAGGCACAAATAATACCTAATATTTGATCATCTAATTAATCAACTGAAATTTAAATCATTTATTATATAAGTTATGCCAAATCTGAAAAGATTACCATTTCATGAAATATGCAACCATGCCAAGTGGCATTAGCACAGCATTGTGGTAAAATTTATGAAATGTATTTTGGAGCACTTTTCTTCCATTTTCATTTATCAATTTCACTTAACTAGACTTTTTGCTTGTAAAACAAAGTCATCAATTTCAAGCTTACTAACAGAAAGTAAAAATAACATAAGAGCAAATACTTCACATACAAATAAAACAAATATATAACCACAGTACCTTTATTTTTCTGTAAAACAAACATTTTTGATCTACTTCTAAGATCTTCCTCAGATGTTCCATTTTCAAATAATACCTGATGAAGATCTTAAGAGATTGAAAATGTTTGTTTTACATAGAAATAAAGTTCTTGGGCTAGATAAAGGTATTGTGGTTATATATTTGAATTAATGTAAACTGCTAATAAAAAATTATTTTGAAAACCTCATTTTTCTTCAAGCAGCATATTGTACCATGAATAAAAAATAAAATACAGCAAGAGATGTAGCTATAGCTGGTAATTGAGAATGCTTAGAAATGTTATTCAGGTAAGTAAAATATATCATTTTGTTACATTTCACTTACTTCAATGGCATTTCTAAGTGCACTCAATTACCAGCTATAGCAATATCTTGTTGTATTCATTGTATTTTATTTTTTATTCATGGTGTAATATGCCACTTGATGAAAGATGAGCTTCTCAAAATAATTTTTGATTAACAGTTTATATTAATTCTACTTTCTGCCATCTTGCTGATGAAACCAAGCTGAATGTGATGTCATTACCATTTTTTTTCTATTAAATTTTTTTAACCTTCAAATGTGTAAATAAGTATCATTAGGAAGTATAAAATATTAAGTATTTTTCAAGAAGACAATGCTAAAATAAAAACTTTGACTAGTGTTTTCTAAGTCATAATTCAATGAGTGATATAAATATTGGTAACTTATTGAAAAGTATAAAGTGCATTTCGTGAAATAGGTAACATTTGCAGATTTGGTATAACATGTATTATTTATATATAACAGTGGCATTAGTAATATATTGAATAGGTTTCAATTTTTTAAAATACTTTTCCTATAGTACTGTCTTCCAATGGAAATAATCCTTTTATGTTTTCCTGATTTGCCCCCAGGTATTTTTTCCAGATGTTGAGGCTGGACATACAGAAACCAGTGCAATAGTATTGGCAGTTGCTGAATAAGAAAAAAATTTATATATTCAGATGAGAAGTATCTGCCAGTGGCTGAGTGGGTAAAACCATTGAACACTGGCAGTTGGTAGCAGGTTGTGCTTTACCAACAAGCTGGCCATATGGAGTTTTCTGGATTTTCTTCATATGTCTAACATCCAAGTAGGGGCCAGTTTCTCATAGAAAGTCTTCTTGGGAGGCACTCATTTTTGGCAGATTGCCCATGTGCAGCATTGTTGTATTCCATCAAACCAAACCAATCAGACAAAAAGTATGTTGATTGGCACAATAAAAACAAATTAAATGAACTAGATCACTGTTGGCCACAATGAATGTTTTGGTCCAATTGGAGCTGATGCAAAAGCAAATGGGATGGAGACATTCTCTTTCATTGGTAGATCATTTTTTGATAACAGACTGTACTGTCTGGTAATTATCTGTCCTTGTTACGGGGTATGAGGTACAGAGAAGCACTAATGATGATGTATTGAAAGGGAAAGGTACAAATATGATTACTGAAAGGGGAAATTGACACTAAATCCCAGAATACAAAATACCCATGAAGGAAGTTCAGATGGATATAAAAGATTTGGAAATGCTGTGAATGCTACAATATAAATGTATGCATGTAGAAAGAAAAAAATAAATTAGTAGTTTTAAGCACTGTTCTTTAGTTATAGTTTTTCTAAAACAGAACTGTATATTTAGTTCCCATAGATTAGTTCCAATAGATTTTTTAGAAAAATTTATAGTTACTAGCTGCAAGGACCTGCTTTGCTGGGTTTTTATTTGTTCGTACATTTGTATGTAATATAGTTGTTTTTATATATAAAATACTGTTTTTCTAAGTAATCTAGAATCTAGCTGCAAGGACCCGCTTCGCTGGGTTTTTATTTGTGGGCAAAAAGTAACAATAGTGAAGATTAAGATAATTACANATAATTATTAAATTTAATACGAGATGGCAGCATAACTGCCTACCTCTAGTCAAATTAATTAATTTATAATATTTAAATATAGCCTTTACATAGCCCAAGAATTTGGCATATCATTTGGCTGGTTTATCAGACATATTATCTGTGATTTTTTCGTTTTTTGCAAATTGAATTCTCATTCCAGGTTGGTTCATTCCATGCTAGAAGAAAAGATGAAGATGATTCATGCTCCTTAGCAATGTATACTGTATAATTTTCTTTGAATAAATGTTATACATAAAATATTTGAGTATTTTTTTCAGCATGGAATGCATTATTGTATTTTACATCAACTTATATGGGAAAAACTGTTTTGCTTAACGAGTGTTACTCATTATGAGTAAGATTCTGGAACGAATTATGCTCGTTAAGCAAGTTTCCACTGCATACAGGGTGAACAAAAAGTAGGTGGACAGTAAATGGTAACATCTATTGAGATTACATATATAATTATATTTACTAATACAATACAATACAATTTTATCAATGCAGGTGCTCAAACTGCTGTTCATCACAACTTTTACATAGCTTTGAACTCTACATTTCACCATTTCATGCTTCAACAAACATTTTTGCCTAAGTACCTTTGTGTATTAATTTCTTGAAATGCATCTCTGATGTAATTTTTCAACCATAACCATAACCAAGTTAAATATACACCATTGTTATAATATATGTTATAAGCGATTGATTGATCGGCCATGTAGAATTCTTCTGTACATAGTTTAGTTGTCTAGTATTAGTTTAGTTTTAGATTCTAAATTTAAAAAAAAAAAAATCCCATTTATATGTATCGGGTCCTCACGTACCATGTAATCTATATTATTATATCACAGTAAGCTGATATTTACATTCTCTCTGCGTGTTAAAATTGTAATCTGTTCTTAATGTTATTGTGACATTGCAGTGTTCAAGGTTAGTTTATACCTACCCATAAGTAATGGGTTTTGCATTTTACTGTAACCGGACCATTCCTCATAATTGTTAATACTGTATAACAGTCTTGTCAACTTTTGTAATTTTGGTTATTAATAATTTCCGATGCAGCACTCTGAAGTCCTAATAACTTTTTTCAGCGTTACTTTTCCCCTTTTCCTTTATACTTCTCCCTTCAGAACCCTTCCTTCAACCCTTTCTTCACTCCTTTCTCTTTGTAGTGGGCTAAGTTTGCAAAAGCAGAAGCCCTTCCTCCTCCTTTATTATTATTATTGTTATAATATAATCTTAACACAAAGCCTATTCCACCTACTTTTGGTTCACCTTGCATAATAGCAATATACAGGTAATATTTTAAGCTAAAACATGAAATAAAATATTTGTTGCCAATGATACTACATTATTATGATACAGTATATTAAAATTAATGTAATCTTTTATTTGGCATTAACTATGATAGACTTTTTGAAAACACTGTGAAAGCAAACTAGCAGCTAAAAAATGAAAATGATTATTAATTAATTAGTGACTGAATAACTTGAGCAAGCATTAAACAATCAAAAATTAAACAGGAGTAACGAAACTATTTCTGTTTCATCTTAAAGAAATGACAAAAGTGGCCTTTCTAATAAAAAAAATATTTAATAAAGAAAATCTAAAAATTGTAAATTAAAATTAAAAATTGTAAATTAAAGACCATATCACATTTTACCTAATTTGTCATCACATTAAAAAATATACAGTAGAACCTCGATTATCCGAATCTTCGATTATCCAGATTGTTCAAAATAAACAAAAATTTTACGAATTTGCTGATTTGCACTTGGAAAATTGCGATACTGTTTATGTACGTGATGGAATGAATATCTTTTTTTGTTCCAATGTCTCACCCGGCACAGTGGTCGTAAACTTTTTAATACATTTTGCATTGTAATAAAAATATAACTTGACATACATATTTATAAATAATTTATATTGAAATTACATCATTTCTATGGCCAAGGGCGGCGTAAGGCATGGGCGACACAGGCCACTGCCTACAGCCTCGCACCTCAAAGATTTATGCATGATTTAAAAGCTGTGAAGGCAACGAAAAAATTTTACTTGTCATAAAACAATAAATAGTTTGCATTTTTATGAATAAAAATTTGACAGTTTCAACTGCTTTTTATTTTATAAAATCCGTCTTCTTGCACCACCAGAGGGCCTTTAAACAATAGGCAGTCTGTTAGTACTGGTCAGTAGTAGTCCAAATTCAATACGAATGTTTATTTCTTGAAAATTTGATCACAATTTAAATACAGTATTTATTTTTATTACTACCAATATGTCATCGAAAAGAAAATGTGTTGTATTATCATTAAAGATAAATATAATCAACGGTTTGAAACACAGTGAGTCTGGACATTCATTATCTAATAAATATGGTGTTGAAACGTCAACAATCTCAGATATAAAAAAACAAAGTGAAAAAATTATGAAGTTAAACAATAATTGAATTTCTTAATAAAAAATAATTTAATATTGAAGCTACAGTATATGTAAATCTAGACAAATAAAAATTATTCATACTGTATGTACTATACATGTCTTTCACTGTCAATTATTATTTTTTCAATTATCCGGATTTTTCCTTATCGGGACTATTTTCATCCCCCAATTAGTCTGGATAATCGAGGTCCTACTATATATTTTTTCAGTTAGTATATAATTATTCAAAAAGTTTTGCAATAAAATACTTATACAAAATGTTGCCTAAGTTAACTACTGTATTAGTTTAAATTATCTTAATCTATGCTAACATAAGAAGAAAATATTTGCTTATAAAATTATAATTACCTCTTCACTTATTTCTTTTAAAATATTAGGTTGAAGAGTCATATATTTAAATAATGTTCCCAATATACATACATTTTTATCACCACTGAGTTCACAAAGCTTTTTGATTGAAATATCCTGACCTAAAATTATAAATATTAATTTATTCAAAAATTAATAATTTGGTTTATATCATATATTTATAAAAAAATTTAAATATGTATATAGAAAATGAAATGATATACTTAAATATTAACATAAGAATAAATATTGTAAAATATAATTATGTTTTATTTATCATGTATTTCTTTATAGGTATTAATTAGGAATCTATAAGAAATTACAAAAATTCTTGTTGAGTCAATCAAGAACAAAAGTAAACATTTTAATGTGTACTCATAGCTAATTTATTGTCAACTAAATAAAATGAAAACAACTTTTAACTCCAGAAAAGCATTTAATTACAAATGTTTTAACCTAATTACCACAACAGGGTGTGATATATGAGTTAAACAACTTTTCAAGATATAAATAACTTTAATTCAATATTTTTATATTTTGTTAAAAGTAAATACCATTGGCCAACTTGAAATGGACTTTAATTCTCACCCAAGTACTTTTGGTTAAGTCAATTTAACCTCTGTTCAATCCTGACAAAGCTGTATTTTAAAATCATTTTAAAACTTTTTAAAATAAGGTTTTGTAACTTTAAAAAAAATGTTTAAATTATTTAAACCTCAGCATTTGAATATTATGTCCATTGAACAATGATTGAAAACTGATATTTAATTCTGTTCAATTTGTAAACTGAAGATGATTCAAATGAAGCCAAAAATGTTCTGTAAATAAATATTTTTGGTATCAGTATAAAACAGTGTGTGTTTTTAATGGTACTGAATATTAAAGATAGTTTAAATTATAAAATTTAATGTTCAAAAACTTTATAAATTGTTTTATACTTTTACTTCCAAATAAAATGCTTATTTGTTTTATAATTTATTTAGATGTCAGAAGGATTATCTGGTTAAAGAAATTTATGCATATAAATTGAATAAAGTTAAGATGTAGTCTTAAAAAGGAATTATTTCAAATTTTTAAGAATATTGATATTAATTTTCTATAACATTAAAATTATTATATTCATATAGTTTTTATAAGTTAACTTTATTTACCCCATTTTTGTTTAGCTGCTTCTTTTACACGTTCTGACATTAATTTCAACCTAACAGCGTAAAAAGGAGCATACTGATTTGAAAAATGCCTTTCTAATAGTAGATATTTTTCAGAGTAGTTCAAGTAGCTACAGGTTGCTCTTTCGTATTTAATATCTGTGATTTTAGAAGATGACATCAATTTTCCAGCATTACAATCATTTTCAACTGTTGGAATCATTACATTTACCTATTAAAAAATAATTATGTTAATTATAGTAAAAAAATAAAATAAAATTTAATAAGTGTATTACTTTGCTGTATTGGAGCTCCAATAAAGCAGAGTTATATGTTTATATAGTATAAAAAATTGGAGTTTATTCATTATTTGCAAAAGTTAATAAAATACAAACATAAGAAATTATATATATTATTTAGTATTAATATATAATAAACATAATTTTAAATTTTAAATTTCTTAACAAATAATTAAGTCATTATATAAAATTACTAGCTGTTACCAATGGCTATGCCCGCGCGGATTTTGCAATTTGATAGAAATAACCCTCCTTCGGTACTTCACTAAGATTCTCAATCATTAGTTGTTACTAATTTGGTAAAATTATTGATTTTTGTTTGTTTCAAACTATGGACTGCTAATGCACCTAAATTCAACTTTCAAATATTTTGGGATTCCGAGATATGATTAATCTGAGTTCTATTTTTCCAAAACATAAATGACGTTATCTGAAAATTCCTAAAAAATAAATATTTACTGAAAAATAGAGTTTCAGTCACTCCAGTACCTGTTTATAAACCACATCTGTGGTACTGCTTTCGGGACTAAGACTTTTTAAGCCTTAATCCTCTCCCTCTCTTCTGCAGGGAAATTTTGAAAAATTCCTTCTTAGTGTGCATTTTCATGATGTATCCTAACTGTGTACTAAATTTCACCTCTTTAAGTTCAGTGGTTTGCTCTGGGCAATGATGAATCAGTCAGTCAGTCAGGACATTCAATTTTATATATATAGATATGTTTAAAACCACTGGTAAAATATACAGTTTGTAGCATAAATGGGCAAAAAAGGCAACCAATTTATACATAAAAGAAAAGATTAAGCACTACATATAACATATTTTATACTTATTAGCTAAGAGAATGGTATTCATAATGACAATATAACATGATAATAACCATCTAGATTTCAATCATAAATCAGATTGTCTCCCACAAGTTTTGATAATATTTTACTATTTCAGTGGAAATTAGTTCATAAAATAAAATGGCCAGTTGGTCAAGCAGCTAAGGTGGAAACCTATTGCTCAGGGGATCCAGTATGAAATCTGATAGATGAAAAAAACTCCAGGATTTTTTCAGGGGTGGTCTTTCCTGATATGATGGGCCTTGCCCTCACCATCCAGCTGCCCCATTGTGTGTCTGGCTGATCCCATAATGGGCTTGCAAAAAATCCAATTTATGCAAAAATATGTAGAAAAAATTTCCAAAACAGGTATCTCTTATTTTGATCAAAATGTAACATAATTCAATTTACTATGGTCATATTAACATTGAGACATTAGTAAGATTGTGGCTCTGAGGAATTTGTGACCTCAACCAGACAAGCAAAAAGTCAAAGGAACTACATCTGTACATGCAACCTTTTTCAACATATTTACCTCCTAAGTTTTCAGTACTATTGCCTATTTGCCATGTTCCACATAAAAGTCATTTGCCTTGATTTCTGCTCTGCATGTCAGATAAGAGTGGGAGTAAGCACCTCGGCACACAAGCAGGGCAAACTCCCAAACCCCAACTATATAACATCAAGTACTCCAAGAACAGTTCAGTGAGCTTCAGGTTGACTGTTTTTGAGCTTTCAAGTAACCCAGGAACAGAAGGTGAATACCATGTGGGCAAAACATTGCTTAAATAGTTGACCTTGGATAATAATCAGATGTTTTTCAGCATAATTTTGAAAAATACAGTAGAGCGTCGTTTATCCGAAGGAATTCCAGTCAACAAATTTAAATTTTCTCCAGTGCTGTAGCGCTTTAATCTTTGGCTATGTCTTCGGCTACTTAAATATTTTACGTTTTTGATACTAAATTAACTTCTGAAGTATAATTTCTTATTGTTTTTATATTTTTCAATATATTTATTTTGTTTGTACAAAATAAAAAAATAATTTTTAACGATACAATAGTCTTCGTTAGGCTTAACATCGACGAAAATTCAACGCGAAGCGACACGCAACAGAGAAAAATTTCAACACGGGATAAACTAATATATTTTTTCATACATAATTGGTTATCCGAAAAATAAGTTATCCAAACAACCCCAGTCCCCAATTGATTCGGATAAACGACACTCTACTGTAGTTCTGAAAATTTTCACTTTTAAATTTTATCCTATTTTTGAGAGTTTCCACAAATCCAGATAGGCTGATTTCAGGGGGCTATATCTTGCAAAAGATCACACATAGAGCATTGGTTCCTTAGAGTTTTTTTTTTTTTTGTTTATGCCCATGTGTCATATTGCCCCAATTTAAATATTACAAACATGAAAGAAACCCAGAAAACTCCATGTGGCAAGCCCACTGGTGAGGCACAAACCCACAACAAACTACTAGTGTTCAGCAGTTTTATCCATTTGGTCACCAGTGAGCCCTTTTGACATTTTTACACCTCTACAGGATAAGATCTCAATTCAGAATCCTCATTCCAAACTGCAATTGTACTACAAAGTTTTCTCCATAATAATATAAATATATTTTAGAATATTCACAAATCAATTATCTACTGATCCTAATATGTTATATACTTCAGAAATTGTTTATTAAATTTTTCCTTTTGTTGCCAGTTCTACAATTATATGGCAATCTATTATGTCAATCATGGTATTGATAGCAATAAAATGATGATGACTGATGTCACTGAAAAACTCCTCGTCCAATGACACGATACAATCATCTTCGATGATAAACTTGTACTATAATGAAATTTAGGTTATACAGTAGGATCCTGCTTAACGCTGATTCGCTATAACACCATCTGCTCAAAGCCTAAAATAAAAGCTTAAAATTTACACCAAGTTAAATGATCGAGGCATTTTATTGATTCATACCTAATACTATTATTAATGAACACGAACCAATCGGTAAAAGGTAGCAAAAAGGTGTACTTTCTTTAAATCTATGTTTGTTTGTCAATTTTGGAAAAAATATAACATCATGAATGCCATAGGCAATATTGGCTTCGCTTGGCAAGAATTAACTGATAAATGCACAAACAAAGTGTGAAAGAAGTTATAGCTGAAGGTATCCAAGAATTCTCAATGAGAAGAGCCTATCACTATATTGTTAGGTTGATCAAACTCAACCTAATTGATATAGCAGGACTAGGAGATGAAGATGAACAGGATATTGAGGAGTTACCACAGAATTCTGGTGAGAATCTTATCAAAATACGACCTACTTGAACCTATAACCGGTGCGTACAGAGTTTAATCTTCCAAAACGAACATTTTCTTAACCCCTTCTGGGTTCTTCTTCAGGTAAATCAGTTGGATCGAACACGAATACGAAAATCTGAACAAATCCAAATTTCAGATTTGTTCAAATTTTCGTATTCGTGTTTGATCCAACTGATTTACCTGAAGAAGAACCCAGAAGGGGTTAAGAAAATGTTCGTTTTGGAAGATTAAACTCTGTACGCACCGGTTATAGGTTCAAGTAGGTTGTATTTTGCTATATACAGCCCGGTGTGTGGTTGCTGTTTCTAATATTGAGAGAATCTTATCAATGATGACTTTCAAGAACTGGCAGAACAAGGAATCCGTGTAGAACTGGAAAATAGTGATTCTGAAAACGAAGAACCCAAATAATTTCTCTACAAATTTCCTCAGTAAAAGTTTGGTAAGATAACCGAAATTATTGATAAAATTGTTACGAATGATCCAGATTCTGAAAGGAGTGTTAAAGCAAAACGAGGCATTTTGGATGCAATCCCCTGCTATCGACATTTGTTTAAGGAAAGAAAAAAGTGACAAATAAAACTACACGGCTTTATTGCAAAGAACAAGAATTTCATAAGAGCCAGGATCTTCATCACAAAAAATGAACTTTACATTTCTGTGCATATGTTTATGTGTTATTTAACATATATTATTGTGCAAATTAATATAAAAATAATTTAAAGTAAAATCTGTTTATTTTTTGGTCACGTGTTCCCCTTTCCCTATTTACTCTATGTTAAAATGGCCTCGTTTAACGTTGTTTTGTTTAGCGCTTTGTCGTCTAGGAAAGTATCCCCCGCATTAAGTGGGATCTTACTGTACTTCCACAAATATTTACCCACTATTTAACTAAATCTTAAACATAACTAAAAATATTTAATCATATAAATATAAAAAATAATAAATTAACGTATTGTTTACAATCCTCACCATAGAAACCAATTCCCGCTTTTTCAATTCCAGCGCCGTCTACTTATCGGAATCGTTACTGAAATGTTTTTAAAATTTTTTTATATTTTAAAGTTTTTATTATAATTTATTGTATTTTACTTAATTTTAGGGAATAATTCGATCGTAAATTAAATAATTTGATTAACTGTTAAAATTTATTTTAAAAAAATATAAATCATAATTAAATTATTTTAACTCTTTCCGCCCTGAGGGCACAAAGAGGGCCTCTTTTTTAGCAAGCCCATTATGGGTTCGGCCAGGTCTACAATGGAGCGGTAGGTGATGAAGGACGGGCCCGACATATCCGAACAAACAACTTCCCCGAAAAATCCAGAATTTTTCCCCATTTTCACACCAAATAAGACACGCTCTTATAGATGCCGTACAGTCACTTTATTCCAGTGTACTTTATTCATATATTCACACATATATAATATATAATAAAAATTACACGTGGCATCTCGAAATTTAATATTTTGAGTTATTTATATTTCGCAAAAATTTAATTAACATCCTCATATTTTAAAAAATGAAATTTAATATGTAACTCTTACACATTTTCTGTATTTAATTAGTGTATATATTTTATAAATATTTAGAAAAAAAATGGAACAAAGAGATAAATTAGCTTTTAGAAATCAATAAAATCTAATACATATTTAATATACATCTTATTAATAGCGCGGTTGCAACCGAAGTTTTCATCTTTAAAACGTGAACGTCGAACGTCGAGCGCCGCTATCTTGTAAGCGGCGTTCGACGTTCGAAGTTCACGTTTGAGAGATGAAAACTTCGGCCGCAACCTCGCTAATATTTTGTAAAACTATACCGTACGATAATCAATACAATACTGTACGTTTAAACATTATTATGAATAATAATAATAATAGAAAATGAGTTACTGTATTTGCCGAAGGTATACATTTACAAAAATTAATAAGTATTTTCTCATAAAAAGAAAAGTATTTGTCTACACGGAAACAAAAAGAAAAATTACTTACGTCCTTGGATTTTTCACGATACCAATTAATTTTCTTATAATATATAATGAATAAAGTCTTATAAATACAGTCGACTCCCCTATAACACTGTTGATTATTCCGTTTTATATAAATTCCATGTTGTACGAGTCACTTAGATTTTACAAATACTGTACGTGAGCCGTTCACATCCCGGCACACGCATCTGTAAAATCTAAGTGACTCATACAACATGGAATTCATATAAAACGGAATTATCAACAGTGTTATAGGGGGATCGACTGTATTATATCATAAATTTAAAAATGAATTTCATTAATGATTTTATATATAAATATTTCCTTTCGTCATTTTCGGAATGAAAAAGAAATTGATTAATTAATTTGAAATTTTGCGGCTTGTGATTGGTCGATTCGTATTTCATGTTTTAAAATGGCATTGAGTGTAGTTGCAGGATGTATAGAATCTTATCTGCAATGATGAATACGTAATTTAATGCTTTTAATATAATATAATATAACTAAATCGAATGAAAGTGAAAAATGATGTTAAAAGCTTATATATTTATATTTTTTGTGTTTGTAATACGCACATGTTGGACCAAAACAAGTGAGGTATGAATACATTTTCAGAGTTAACTAGTAAATATATCCATTCAATTAAATATATATTATATATTTTATATAATTAAAACATAGGGATGATTTATATACTTAAATGTGTATTGTTAACTGTTTATTGTTAATTTAAAAATGGATGATGACATCCTTTGTAATATGTTTATCAATTTGTTTCATGTTTTTATACATTTATTTTACTCTATAACATAGTACTAATTGTATTTACTATAAGCCATTATTTACCATAAATTCATAACATATTTAAAATTTGAAAGTAAGTTAAAGTGTTATGAAAACATAAAAGGGTGTAATTTTTTTTCAAAACTAATGAGTCACCCAAAGAATATAAAACTTATCTGATATAATTATTTATTTTATTTTTTAATAAAACAGATAATTAAATTCTTAAATAAACTCATGTTTGTGAAAAAAAGTAAAACTATACTTACAAAATTTATTTTCAATTTATCTTAACTGAAGGAATGTACGGTACAGTACATGTATCTAAAATATAGTCAAAACTATGCTTTTTTTTTTGTTTTCTTTTTCTTTTTAAATAATACTTAGTGTAGAAACAAGTAATGTTAGGTGTGATTTGTCAAAATAAGGATTAGAGAGAGATTTAATCGAATTTAATGTTATCTAAATCTTAATATTGGGAATTAATTAAGAATAATGCAAGAAATATTTTGAGAGCTAGAATTTTTTTCATTCAATAACATGCATTGAACCTTAAACACACTTCCTGCAGGAAAATGTCTTTTAATTTTCACAATAGCGAATGTTTTCAGCCCTGTTCACAGACTGCAGCAGGTTACACAGAAGCATAAATGCAAATTGAGAATTCAAGAACAATCTCAAAAACAGTCTAAATTTGGAATTCTCAGTTTGTGTTTACATTCCTTCTGTATAAGTCTGATGCAGGTTTCTGAAGAGGGTCGAAGTGTTTGCTATTGTAAAAGTTAAAAGATATTTTCCTGCTGGAAGAGTGTTTAAGGTTTATTGCAATTAAGAATATATATTTTTACATATACACTTGATACTTCCACTAATTTATTAACTCATAAAGATTTTTTTTTCTATTCCATTTTCCAAATTTACTATATGTTTATATATAAATTCTTCTGTTTGTATCTTTGTATTCAAAGACAAAAATTTTGGAAGGATTTCTAGAAGCCAGTAATCATTTCTTTGATTTACAGGATACAATCAGGAATGGGATTATAAGGTTTTTGATACAATCAACCCATATTCATATCACTTCAAAACAAAATCAAACACATCTAAATGCAGAACTGAATGGATAATTAATGTTTTCAAATGAAATAAACAGTGTATTTCTAACACATTAATTCAAATTCAGAAGAATTACTAATAGGCATAAACAAAAATATATATAAAAAAATAAAATAAAATTATTTATAAATAAATGATGTCCCTAAAAACATTTTCAAATGTGAAGTTAAGAAATGAAATTAATATGTCTAGAAGTTAAAAAGAGCATATTGCTTGATATTTAAGTACAGCTGTCCCTTGATAGTCCGACGTTTTGTAATCCGACATGCTCAGTAGTCTGACGCACCTCCCGTCAAGGTACCCGCCCCCGTTACGTGTCTGCTTGCACAGAAGCATGTTGCGATGTGAATCTCCCCACCCAATTCTTACACGATGACACACATTTCGTGTGTTTTCTGTGAGCAGTTCTGTTCGAACAGTTGGAGTAGAGAATATTGTAGGCTACTGCTAGCAAAACAATGCCAAATATGTAATCACTTTTGGTAATCCAGACACTTTTGGTAATCCGACACCCCTTTGGTCCCAATCCTGTCAGATTATCAAGGGAGAGCTGTATTTTTAAAATATTTGATATTTTTAATTATAGTATCATCAATAAATGAAAGAATGTTTAATTTATATATGATGATGATGATAATAAGTGATTTTAAGTCTTCTGTTTTAGCCAAGGCATTTATTCCTAATCTTAATTGTGTAACAGTTTTTGTTAATACAGCTATCTTCATTTAATTGAAAGAATATATTAAAATTAGTGATGGGACAATTAATTGGAATTGATATCAAGAATTGGAAGAATTGTGGTATTTTTCAGTAATCAGAATTAGTATTGAAATGAAGAGAAATTCCAATTCTTAAAAAGACTTTTTAATATTTCAGATAATAATTAAAATAGTTTAAATTATGTTCCTTAACAGTCAAATATTATTATACTCCAAGGTTTCATTTTGTTCACTAAAAGAGCTTTTCACTAAAAGTAAAGAATAAATAACTTTATTCTTTATTTTTAGTGAAAAGCTTAAAAGAAGTAATTTTGTTGAATTATGATAGAAAAACTTTATTTAAAAAAGTATTTAAATTTAAAAAACACTGACATAAGCTCAAAGTTAAAATTATGTGTGGTGCCATCTGTTATGAGATGTTATTAAAAAATAGCTTTTATATTAATTATTATAAAAAGATAAAAAATTTTCATTTAAGTCTAACTCCACATGAAATACAATATATGACCACCTCTCTCTACTCCTTGAGTTTTGTACTCCAAAATTTAATAGCATCAATGTCCTTTAAATATAAGTTACTATATCAAATTTTGTTTCTTAATCTTTATCCTTCCTGAAATATTAAAAAATAGATGCCAAAACAAATGTTTTACCATTTTTTTTAGTTCTGGGGTTTCAAAAGGTTGAGATTGATCAAATTTGACATTATTACAATATTTTCCTGTGTTGTTTTTTAACAGCATAGAAAGTAATTAAAGAATACAAATGAATAAAAAGAAATTTTATTTGTATCCTTTAATTTTAATGAATAATAATCTCAAAGTAATATATATATATAATATATATATATATATATGCGGTAATAAGCTGTTCTAAAAAGCATAAATAGAAAATAAGGACAATAATACAAATCTT